ATTTTTCCACTGAGCTGGTAGGCAACAATGGGACGGGAATGCACGCTGTTCAGCTCTAGCGTTGTCACCCTTCGCAGCACTTTCACACTCGTAGCGTTTCCGTTTTGTCCGCATATGTAACTCTACACTCACAATGAAATTCACAGATTGGATCACATTTACGGAACAGAGAAGGTGCTCATACATCGGGAATTAGATATCTCGGTCGTTTTAGAATTATGTTGACTACGTAATTGATCCGAACAACTTTATTACCATTATTATTATGCTAATATTATTATTATTATTATTATTATTATTATTATTATTACTCTTATTTCACACTTATCTGAGTGCAGATGGTGGACTGAACAAATCGCGTATATCAGTCTATTTGTGGGTGAAATACTGACAGACTGTGAAAGCTATGGGAGTTTACAGCCAAATCCTTCGGCTAACCGGAGCCCGACCCCCTGGACAGCGGTGTGTGTGCGAAATACAATTTATCGGGCACTAGTGCCCAGTTTATTGAATGACATGCCGTTTAGGCGTGGTTCACACTCACAAGGTTCCAGATAAACATTATAGTCCAGTTGAGTCGTTGATCATTTTGATCAAGATTTCCCGGAACCAGCTTATTCTTCTTTTCTTGGGAGGTTTGGAGTTAGGGTATCCCACCTCCCCTGACTGATCGTAGCTAATTGACCCGGTTCTAGCCTCAAATACAGCTTCTCACTTTTGTGAAAACACCCTCGGCGAGCAGCCAAATGCCTTTTTGAATTATTGCCTGACAATCGTTTTGCCATGGTGGTCATATCGTGTATTGTAATTTCGCTACTTACCTAATCACATTCTCTTGACCCTATGCACACTTCGTTTCGATATGACTACTTCTTGGTATCACATTGTCGGTAAAGTCTCCCTTAGTACTTTTTCATGGGGCGTTCATATTTTTATCACTCCACTCGGTCAGAAATAGTCCAAATCAAGGCATACAATTTCTAAAAGCTAAATATTGGTCTGTTAAAATGTCCTTTAGATGTGCGACAGTCTTCACAGTGCCCCATTGTTGAATAGACTTAACGCATCATGGGTCTATTGGAGCGTCGTCGATTTCATTTCTTACTCATACAACTCTACAACTGTAGGTCAATATTCGTCCACCTGGAGATTTCGTTCCTGGAGTGACCACTGTACCGTCTAAAAAACCATCCCCGGCCTCACGGCGATCAAACACTACACGGTTATCAGTCCGCGGTGGACAGGATCTCTTGTTAGTCGATCTGAGAGGAAGCAAACGGGGTAAAAATGAATCCTCTCCGGGATCGACCACAAGCCAGACAGAGACCAATTCGAATCCAACACGAAATTTACTTCAGGTTCTTCCAACAGCACCAGCCTTGCCACCTCCTCCATCCTCTTCCAGCAGTGGTCCGACCGATGAGCTTTCATTTTTCATGGATTCCAAAGAATCGAAGACGAGTGTGGCCCGGCCCAGGGCTTCTGGAGCTCAAACTTGGAATCGAAGTAAGCTATTTGTCTTAAGAAATTTTATTTTCTAATAGGAAATGTTCTTGTTCTTGTACTTATTCATGAGCTACAATTCTCATTTGATTGCTGTGGTGTTCCACCTACTCAGTTCACACAAATGCACGCGTAAAAAGTGAAGTTCTCAATTATTAGTTTTTCAGTTTATACAGCCATTAACCATGCTTTTTCATAAGCCGGTTGATGGTACTACCTTTTGGCTGCCCATTTGAATGAAGCATTAGAATAAAGACAAGAAAGTTGTTATTAGAGTGGAAGAGCAAAGGGAGAATTTCAGTGGACTAAGGTTGCCAAGAAATTGAGGAGATACAGGATCGCCACTGTATATCACTCAGTGTCTAACCATTGCTCACAATGGCTACAATGCGCTGTTTCTGCGGGTCCAGTCAAGATGCCTGCGACCTATCAAACCGGGTGAACCAATCCGAATGTGATATTCGAAATTGGTATAACCTTTCCTGGCCACATGACTCAGGATTGAGGTTTTCCATTCCCGACCCCAAGGTCTGCGGTTCTTGTCCCGGCTGAAAAGTATACACTTTTGACGAATTCCAACAAGCATGGGACAACTGTCCAGTGCTCAGTCAGTCATTACATAGAAAACGAAACTCACTGTTAGTCGGGAATGGTCAGTATCAGACTTACTGGTCACATAGTCCGTTGCTCTTACACCGATGTGTCTATCGTCGCTCTTCTGTTACAAACACAATATTTTACTGAGCATCGCTCAGTCGTTTTTTTTCTCAACGAAGCTCATTGTTTAGGTACTTAAGTGAAATGAGTTCACTATGATACGCAAAGTCCGGATTAGTTTTAACGTTCTACTTGATGGTCAGCAATTTTCATATGACCCAGCTTCCCCAGGTGGCGGAAAGGGGAACAATATATGAAACAGTGGGTGACTGTGAATGAGCTGAGCTGAGACTCATGGAATAAGCGACTACAGACAAGCAGCGTCAGCAACCGATGACATGTTGGGTTTTCGCTTGGTAGTGGTTCTCTGTGTGAAACGCTACAAGAATCCGACCGCGATGCTGTAATATGGCGAATATCACCCACCCCTTACATCAGCGCATTTTATCCCATTCGATATACCCTGCAATGTTTTGCCGAAAGGTCGAATCAACCAAACTACTGATACACGGCTTTTCTGGAAGAAACCTATTGCCTTGCATGCTGTACTTAAATGTGCAGATGGTGGAATAAACGAGCCTGGGGGAACTGCACGCAATTCGACACCCGAGAATGTGTATAACTGTGTTTGTTGGCCATGGGTCTCATCTATCCCCTAGTAAAGGAAAATCGTGTTCATGTAGAATAGCATTTTATTTGGTTTTGCTCTTCCTGGTGAATATACTTCGAGAAGCTAAACCAGTGCTTACTTTCCATTGTGCTCTGAATTCACCACAACAATGTTATGCACGGATTTTTCAGTTATTATAAAAAAATGTTTGTACCTTTATGCGTGATTAGTGTCAACAAAGTTCTTCCCGGTCTATGGTCGTGTCACCTGCTGTTTACAGACTTGTGTATTGTGTATAACTTGTATTACTGATTGAATAACCCTAGTACCCTCTAGTTTAACTTATGCATGATCTCTGCCTAATACGTGTTCCGGACCTTTCGAATAAGCAAGTGTTTCGAGGAGCATGTTGATCATACTTCACATTTTGCTGCAGCAAACTTTTACCACTCCGCTTTCGAGATTTCCTAGTGGGGATGAATATTTGTGAAGGATATATATATATATTCGCTTATTCTATAGAAATTCACTCTCCAATACAGCCGGTCTTTCTGTCTGATACCGCGAGAATTCACCCTTGGTTTGTTTTCCTGCTCACTGTCACCCCCTCCTCAGTTTTGTGAGATGAGACTAGGAATTTCTCAGTTCCTCACAGATGACTGTCTTGACCTTTTAATACTGTTTTCTTACTTATGAGGAAATATGACCCATACTAGTGACTGTAAGAAGTCGGTTAAACACGTGATGCNNNNTTTCCCCCCCCCCCCCATCCGGAATAACGCGACTCCAGGACTAGCTGATCATTCCGATGTATTCGATGTATTCTATTGGGTTAAATGCTGCATGGTTAATTTCATGACCACTGGAAGCATCATCTAGCATCTGATTTGCTGACCTTATCGTGAAACCTGGTGCGTTATTTCGACTAGCACAAGAATTTCTATTGTTAGATTCTGACGATCGATAATGAATTGACATTCTTGTTGCACATCACCACTGGGGTTTGAACAACGCTGCGGCACAACAGAGTAGTGCGATATATATGTATGTGTGTGATTGAAGCCACAGCCTGTTTGCTTCCACACGAATCGAAACTCCAATCGCGGAGCTGTTCATTCGGAATGATTCGTTTTATCATTCGGGCTGATCATATAGTCATATTCCACAAACGTGCGACAGAACGCTCACTTGTAGCCTGCAATGGTTACATAACATCAACATTGTCAATACTTCCCGATTTGCGTCATGGACGTTGGTACGGTACCTGTTGGTCATTGCTTGTTTGCCATCTACCCTAATGTGCTGCTGATATTATAAAACTGACTTTTGTCTACCGCATTCGGTTCTCCACGTAAGACCGATTCACGCTTCTGTTACATTTGCAATCACCAACAGACACAAACACACGTGTTCGTGTAAAGCGGAATTTACCACATCAAGTCTTTTTCCGTTATGGAGACCGCTCAAACTGTCACGTGAAACAACAGTATGCTAATTTTCTTACTCTTCCGCTCGTCCTCGTCCAGGATTGCCGAGGTAATTGATCGCCAAGGGTTCTTTGCATACCCGCTCTCATAAACTCAGTGTACCGAGCTTGTATCGAGCTAACTGGTCAGTTAGTAAAGGGCGTGCCAAAAACGACAACACACTCCGAGAGGTAGCTTGGTGATCGAGGCCTCGATCCAGTCGCGCAAGTTATGGTGGGATATTTTATTTGTAACATATTGCTCTGGTATTTATGCCGTTCAATCATGTACTCAGATTCTATAGTGGGGGTGTGTGATTCTTATTGTTATAGGTTGGACAAGAGGTCATCGTTCAAATAAAATATCAAGTCACGGTAATGTCCGTTTATATTGAGGGGATTGCTTAACCGCACCGCAGGACGATTACGAATTCACGATGCTGGTTTTTCTCCAACCGTTTCAGTCAGAGAGTGGCAAATCGTATGGCATTCTATCTTGTATGATTCATATTGGGTAAACTCGATCGCTTAGGGCGGTACATCGATCAATAGCCCCGTGTTTGTATCGTTATTATGGTCAGCTGTTAATCGTACACCGAACTGCAGTTTTCACCTTATTCGTTTCTGCTTGTCCTGAACAATACCTCGGGTGATAGTTCCATCTGCTGCGTCTGATCCTTTCGTTGCAGAGATTCTTTTCCTATTCCGATTGATTGCTGTTTCTTTCCACGTTCCATCTTCAGTTATGATATGAATTAGCTTGAGAATAGCCGTCTGGGCTTGATATCGGAATGTGGAGCAGAGGTGTAAGTTTAGGATACACTGCTTTTGTTGGGAACGGCCAATTTGTATAGATTACTTGTGACGAGCCACAGTTGTTTGCACAACCTGAAGAGTGTAGTGATGATTTCTCACAAGGGAAAAAATTGCTGCTGCGGCCTTTCAATTTTTGAATTATGTTCCACTTAATGATCGCAATTTTCATCAGCAGCAAACATAGGATCTCCTGCATGGTTTAATTCCTGTGAAACACTTGTTTAATTGGTGATGAAGGTCGGTGCGATCCATCGAACTCATTCATATTCGATACCTTTCTCGTCCTTTCAAGTTAACCGTGTTCGGCGATAAGTTCAGTTAACAAGAAGAATGTTCTTCCTTTATATTTGGTCATGTACGATGTCGCTTGAAACCCGGTCTTTTTGATCATACAAAACGGAGTCTTCGGTAGTGGACACTCCCCAAAGAGAAACTTGGAGAAATGTAGATTTAGCTCCCAAATGCACATACGGGCGGAAAATTCTCCGTCTCCGAACGTGTATTCATATCTTTCCAGGAGATTTGTGAAAACTCATTGCTATGTTATGATGTGACTTGAAGTGACATCTATTTCTTGCTGATCTCCAGAAAGGCTGAATACAGGTGCAGTTCAGTTCAGCTGATAAAGATGGTTTTCGAAATGGGTATTTCAGACTTTGGGCACTGCATACTTCGCGGTTGCCCACACCAACAAAGGGGTTTCTCCTTGGGAACCCTAACTCAAAAGTCCGACCCACAAGGCAGTGGGGCGTAAATCCAACGCGGGAGCGTGAACGAAGCACCCGTGTGGGTGCTTCTAGACACCTGTCACGCAAGGCCTTTGAATTTCGGTTCAGTGTGTTGTTCGCCTGTTCTTTGGTTATCGGTCCGCTTTTCGGGATCAGCTCTTAGCCTCATGCACCTAATGAGACAAGCGGAACATGTATGGGACAGCACCTTATTGGCTGGGGGCTGCGCAGCTTGGGCGGTCGGTAGCTGTCCAATGAAGTGCGAAGACTTCTCCCGCAGTCGAGTGGAAGCCCCAGGTACCCCGCTGCTATGTCCATCTAGCGGGTTTTTTTTCCACCGGTAAACTGCCCCTCACCGTGTTTATTCACTGGAATGATCTCTCCAGAGGCGGGTATAGATAGAAAAGGAATCCCGGAGGTGCCCA